AGAGTTTGTTACTATCTTCAGAGACTTATTTGTACCTTCATCAGACCGATAATAAGAGAAAAGGACAGTGATGCAGTATGAGTCATATTTTACTACATTGGAAAAGTATGCATCTTTGTTGGTCAGTACTATTGATGAAAAGTGCTATAGATTTCTAAGAGGATTGAAAGATGAATTGAGACATCCACTTGTACGCTAAATATTCAGGAGTTATCAAAGCTTATTAAAAGAGCGGTACTAGTGGAGAATGACATAGCTATTCCTCTATTTGGACTGGATATGAGCACAAAAATATCAAGATATGTCATAACTAGGATGTAGAGTAGTGAAAAGAGAGGTAGATTTTTTTCTAACATAAGAGGATATACATCTGAGTCCAATTTGGATGTACTGGAGTGTGCCCAATGTGGTAAGAGGCATAGTGAATTGTGTTTTTTTATGACTGGATAGTTCTTTAGATATGGGTAGTGAGGACACTGGATAGATGAGTATCCATTAAAGTGATAGAGGACAAGATACGGATTCAGAGGAGAGCAAGCCAGACAAGGTTATATATAGAGAACCATGGGATCTATAAAATATAGTGAATGGTCTATGAGGAAGACAGATAAAATAAGGGTTGCTGAAAGTCAAAGATGACCTACACAATCTGCTACACCAATATTATCACATGTACAACTTAGAGTATATATTTTGATCCAGCCAGAGGATAATAATGTACTTGGAGGACCACTGGTGAAATTTTTAATCTATGAATTGATTGATTAATAATTTGCATAGTATATTACGCTTGAATGATATGTGAGAGTATGATTATTTTGAATGGACTCATGATTGATTAGATGCATTACTTTAGATATTTTGAAAGGATTTCAATTGATTTATTAGTTTTTATATTGGTTTTGAACCGTATTGATTTATTAGATGCATTATTTTAGATTTTTAGATATTGTTTCATAACTTTTTAAGCCTTAAAAGAATTTATATGAATTTATACTGAAAACTAAATTAAATTACATAGTTATATAATATCATATTTCTATTTTAAACTAAAATATCCCAAAGCACTAAACACATATATTAAAACCTTTTTTAATCACTTCAATTCACATAATAGAGAACCATAAAAGAAGTTTGGTGAGAATTATAAGGAGAAAGAAAATAGAAGTGAGGATTTGAAGATTGTGAAGTAATTTTTATTACTCGATCCTGTTAGGATAGTTGCTCGTCTCACTTTAAGAAATCATTAACATATTTCTTATTTCAATAATTTTATGGTTCGAGTATTTTTCAGATCAAATTTGTATTTCCGTTATCGAAAAATAAGATATTTTTGTATTGGAAAAACTTTCACCGCATAACTTTTTGTATGTGATAGATGTCGTTAATATGAATATTTTGACAACAATATATTAAAATTTCAAATGTTAAATTGAAAGTTATGATTTTTTGAAGTAAATGCATAGTTGATAAATTTGATAGATTTTCTTGTATTTATATAATTTTATATTTCATACATGATATTAAATTATATTGTATAGAAAAAGATAAAATTTATATGTAAGCAATAAAGATTGGTTGTTAACACTATAATAAATACGAGTTAGCTCTTAAAATATAATACTCTGCATCGGAGGGTGAGTCAATGAACTTTTCTTTTAAATAAAATGTTAATGGTGTAATCCTAATTATAGTATGTAACCGACTAACCAAATTACTTCGACGGATAGAGAGTGATGACTCTTAAGTGATTATTAAAAGTCACATATGAAAATAAATGATTAATATAATAAATGAAAGAAAAGATAAGATTGACAGATTGATAATGATGACATATAACAGATGTATTAAAGAAAATACTACATTAAAACTACATGTCATACATTACTTTTCATAATTATACTCTTGATAGTACATTAAGTTAATTGATAGTATATTAAATAGATTGACAAATTGATACCTCATACTGATATTAATATTGATACAATATAGCATAGCATACTGGCATGATTCATTATGTGATAATACTCTTTACCGTATGTCTTATAGTTTGATAGATCTCTTTTGATTTCACTGATCATATTGATTTTATTATTAATTTATGTGATTTTTTATTGCACATATTAAGTGATGGTTAATATTTATTATAATTGAATATATATATATAGATTCTTTTGTCTTGTACGTATTGAAAGTAATGATAGAGTTTTAATTTTCTGCTGAGCTATTTAGCTCATTATACGTGATTTAAATGATTTGAGGTTAGGAAATGGATTAGGATTGTGAGTAGTGATACTTATAAAGATCGCCAAGTTCTTCTTTAAATTTTGTTATGAATTTTCTTTTATTCTTTTGTATTTAAGAGCTTGTGATAGATTCGTGATTGTACTAACTTCTTAGCTATTGTATATTGATTTTTTGAGAATGAATATAGTGCAATATTTTAATATATGTTATTTATTTTTATTGGTATACTTATTTATTATTCAGAAACTCTAGTTGATTAATTAAAAAGCTAAAATAGATAATTCTTCTAAATTTGATTTTGGACGTTATATTTGCGGTCTAAATCATAAACCCAAAATATCATTATTCAACACATTTCCAACTAGGAACTTGTTAAAATCATTGGCCAACCACCTGCATCTTCAAACCGTGAATATACAACAATCAAATAATGATCAAGTAATCCTAAAGCAATGATCGTACAATGTTAAAAATATTTTTTAACCATCTTTAATTATGATTCTAAGAAAATTTTTAGCCATAATTAAGCTATGCATGATTCAAACTATGATCGAGCAATCTCTGAATAATGATCATAGTATGATATATCAATCTTCTTTCATGATTCTTATAATATTCCAATTACCTTTGATTGATAATCAAAAAGTGATTTAGCCATCTTTAAACTACGATCAAAGATATTTGAATATGGTTCAAAATTATTTGAATCACGAAAAAAAAAAATTCAAACATGGTTCAAAGATTGTTTGATTTTTGTTTAAAGATTGTTAGATCGTAGTTCGATTATGATCTTAACAGGAATTTTTCAAATTGCTCAACTATCAAAGTTTTATTTTACTTATTTTAGTTATTTTGCAATACATATAGATGTCTATTCAAGTCATATCAAATGAAAGGCATTATAATACAATGTTTGGCTTATATATAAAGTTGGGGTGCGATGGATTTGTTAGACAGTTTGAGGATATTGACCTCATTTTTATGGCCTATAAAACCCTTTTGGTTATTTTTGTTGAAATGCAGTTATCTGGGGCCATGATTTATCAACTATTGTTGATGGACTTTTATGAGGAGGAGAATTATGGACTTTATTATTTTCAGTAATAGAGAGCTCTGATATGTCAATGCCGCATTCGGCATTTTTGAGTTTGCCTTTATCATTGGGTTACACTTTGGAGATTCTCCAACTAAGGAATTCTAGAAGATGTAGTAGTAGTAGGTTCCATGAAAACTATATGGATGGGGATGATCAATTTAAAAATATAGACTGAGAGAAAACTTTCATAGAGTGCACTGAGCGAAATGATGTGTGGAAGCTTGGGTTATATTCTTTGTAGATGTATGTACATCATTTTTGTAATACATATAGGGTAGGTTGGCATGTGAGAAAGCAATGAGATTGGCAAGTACTTCCCAACTTTGCTTCAACAGTCAAGGTTATTTGATAATATATATATATAAATCTCCTGCAAATTTCGTTGTGCATGAAGGAGAGCCATTATAGATGAAGTCCTCTGATCCATTTTAAGGTAATCCATTTAAAAATTTAGAAATTTTAGATAATTTAAGTAGTTCTTATACATATGTTGATTTCTTTACATCTTATGTATAGTGACGACTATGAATTGTATGCAATCACAGACAATTCTTCAAGGATTATTTATATATAAATTTATTTTAGAATAATATAGATCCATATGTCGATATAATTTTTTGCATGCATTAGTTCTCTTATTAATCCAATTTATATTTTTCTAAAATTGCATCTGTTGTGTTATGGTTGTTGTTATAGCTATTGAATTGCATAAATGGATTACAGTCTATGCTATATCTTTTAAAATAAGCTCTATTGTGTTATATCACTTTGTAATCTGCAATTGTAATTGTACTCCTCACTTATATATCAACCTTGTAAGTTGATGTGTTATAATTCATGTTCAAATCATATTTGAACCACAATCGAACCCTAAACCCTACACTCTAAACCTTAATGTATGAACCTTGTAAGCTATTGTGTTGTAATCCATGTTCAAATCATATGTGAACCACAATCAAATGCTATTCAAATCATAACTGAACAACTCTCAAACCATAATTGAATAATCTGTAAATGATGATCGAAGCATAATTCTTGAATCATAATAAAATAATCTTTGAACCATAATCGAATAATATTCAAATCATATACAAACCTTACTAGAATATGGTTGGTTCAAACACAATTCAAAGGAAATTCGAACAAATATTGAACATTGGTTAAACCTTATTGCAAAATGTATTGAGCTTATTTGAATCAATTTTGCTCACAATAGTTGGAGTGTACTTTGCATAAAATTTTCAAGCAAACATCCCTAAAAAACAAGCATCAATAAAAAAAAAAACAAGGCATCGGACTTTTTTTTTTTTTTCACTATTATGAGACAAAACTAAAATTTTCATTTACAGGCCTTCTTAAAGCTAGCTCCTCTCACTTTCTTGTATCCATCTCTTGGTTAATAAATCCAAGGATTCGTTGCGGACCCTTTCACGACGAGTTGGAGGATAGAGAAGTGGAGAAGATGTCTAAGCATACATAAATATCGAAGATTCGATCCCACCAATGATAAGGTGGAGACACAGATGTGTCCAATTTCTTAGGCTTGCACTAGAAATTTCACATCACTACCTATGTTGATGAGCATTTTTTCGCATGCTTTTTTTATATATCTATAAATATAGCTTTTACAGTGATTAATCAATGGAGCCGTAGACAGTTGTAAACATAAAGAAAAGCTACAAAAAAGAATAATCTTAGTGACAAGCATTACACTCTGCATATGATTAAGATCACACTGCACTAAGTTTGATTGACTTCACAAATAAAATCAATGAAGATGTCTTTGAGGTTGATCTTGTGCCTGTTTTATAAATAATTAAACAGCCCAATTATAAACAATTTTATATAATGATAATGAATTCAGAAAAAAGAACAAAATTCCCTTCTTGCTCTTAGTGATTTCATGGCTGCTCGCTAGTCTTTCCAACCATCTTTGTTAAATCTCCGTGAGGCTAAGCCCTTCAGTGATGGATTTGAAATAGTCTTTGAGGGTGTCATTGGGGCTTCTTCTTCATCCCATGCATTTCCCCAGCTGTTATCCCAGTTATCATCACCATCATTAGTTTCTTTCTTTCCTCCAGTTGAAACTGGTAATCCCACCTCTAACTTGTGGTATTTGGGGCCAGCTTTTCGTAGTAGCAAAGGATGAAACCTAATACATAACCAGGCAACACCTATGACCACAGCTAAAGCAAGGAAGATGCACACAAGAGCAAAGCCTGTAGATGTGCTGAGGAATCTAGACATGCTCAATGTTTCACTCTTGCTTATGGAATTGGGGATTATGTTCCTAAAGTCCAGGCTACAATTATCCCCTCCTGCTTGCAAAATTAGCATCGAGTCTTTTGTACTGTCCTCATTTACATAAACTTTCACCTGAACAAAATCATTTGTGTTTTTGGTATATAAATATGGACTAGACCAAGATAAACTAAAAGGGATTTGTTTTTATCCTTAAAATAAATTCAACTTTTTATTTTAATGATTCTCTCTTCAATAGGCCAAGAACAACATATAGTTCAAAACAGTTAAAATTCAATAATAACAAGCTTCGAATAAAAGAACTATAAATTTAAAAATAAAATAATGCTAACAATAGCTTGATTTACTAGTTTTGCAGAGGAAGTTTCCTTGTGACTCGCATATCAAATACCTGCATAGCGCCTTTAGGATTTATATGATTTGATCTAGGTTGTGAATCCTTAGTCCTAAACGCTTAGTCCTAAACGCTTTCTAAGCTGCATGCAACGCTAATTCAAAGTATAAAGTAAGACCAATTTATTTTTATACTACTAAAGTATTCAGACTTTATTTCTATGAGTTTCCTATTTGGCATGCTGACATCATCGTATTTGAACAACGGAAGAAATTCTACAGCTAACATGTTTCATATAAAAAAGCTGTAAGTTGGAAAATGATGCTAATATGAGAGCTTTGGCATTGTCTAGTTATTGCATTCTAATAAAGTTTCCATGCGACAGGTATAGTAGCAAGCCCGCATAAAGAGTTAGTGCTAGGAATTATACCATGTGGATTAGCTTGTGAATCCTTCTGCATTGTATTCTACCAGAAGTTGCAAGAAACAAGACAAAAAGCTTCTGTAATTGTTTAAAGAATTTAGGCACCAAATTAAATATTGAAACCGAAAACTTTTTCTTCTATGCTTCAGGCTCCAACAAGCATTATCCGTAAAAATATATTCAGAAAAAGAAAATATTGCTAAGAGTCTAAAAATTTTATAGATTAGTAGTTATTTCGTATAAAGTAGTTCCCGATTCAAAGAAAAGGCATAGTTTTGTTTCGACTAGTATAGTATAGTCCAGCCAGCGCAGAACGAACCATCATCAGCATTCTCTGTTCATTCATAATCATCCCTAAGTGTTAACCTAATATTGTTCAAATCCATTTCTATAACATCTAATCATTGTCTTTTTTTTAATTGATATATTAAAACAGCCTTTAAATCTCCATAATATTCTCTAAACATAAATTCTCTAAAGGCATTTGCCCATTTTAACTATATATCTTAATTCTAGAAATTATACACTGAATTCATACCCCAATTATTTTCCGAGGTTTTAAAAATAAGACCGACTATTCAACCGGGAACCAGTCGGACAACCAAATCCATCAAATGTGAAAACCGCAATCAAATGAAACCGCGCGTGACTGTAGCGGAACCACAGTTCGATTGCTCAACAGGCAGATAGGAATAGTTCGTATAGAACCGCATGGTTTTAAAATAATGAATTACGAGTCGTTGATTTCGAATCGAACGGTCATAATTATACAATTTATTTCTTAAATCCTAATTAGAAATTACTAAACCCTACTCGCTATTTATCTTCTCTCGTTCCCGTTCCCGTTCCCGACCCCGTCCCTAATCAAACATCCATTCGTGACCCACTGCCCGAGACGAAGACCTCGTCGGAGCTATTCGTATTCCCTGACATCTCCTCTAGCCTTAGTCAATACTCAGCCTCCTTCATAACCATATCTCATGCGACATAATCAAAATTATGAGATTTCCTCACCAGCAAGTAAACAAATATTTGTATCAATTGATTCAATTCATTAATCTTTTGAGTTTCGATTTTATTTCATCTATTTCAATGTTACTCAGTAGTTACTATTTTATGTTATCTTAATTTGTTAGTTTATGATTTTCTAGTTTAGGTTTTGCTTATATACATGAAAAATAACTTGATAAAAGTTATCTTAGCTTGTGTTAGAAGCTTATTTTGAATTTGTTTAGAACATAATGTTTGTCTTCATTTTGGGAAATCAATAGGAAGTATGAAGATGAAGAGCACATGTTAAGAAAAAAAAAACTAATTTTTATGTCAACACTTTATGTTACACCCATCAAAGGCAAAACATGATAAATATTTGATGAACTGAATATTTTTTTTTTTAATTGTGAGAATTTAATTGAAAATGCTAGACAAAATGACCATCCAACCCTCCATGAGGAATGTGGAAACAGTGCAAGCTAACACTTATGGACTTTGAAAGTACTCTCTGATTTTCATAATTGTATTATTGATGAGCATGAAAAGTTGAAAACTGTAAGTTGTCAGATCTTTTTGGCTGCTAAAATTTTATAATAAATGCATATATGTCTTGTCATTAATTACATGAAATTTTCTTTTAAAGACGGATATCTTAGTAAACCCCTCATAATAAGTTATTTGAATAAGCAACTTATTCAATGCTAGATAACATAAAAAAAAAAAGCTAGATAACTTTTGAGTCTTGTATATTATTGATTTTTCTTTTATTTTTATTGCATGTTTGGGCTTGAATAAACAACTATAATTGAAAGCATATGAGTTCAAATATATAGAGCTAAATCCTTGCTTATTGTTTATGTTTTATAAATTTTTAGTTCAGTTTTAATTTATCTTTGGATGTTAAATAGTAGAAAAAGTTCAAATCTATTTAATTTGAGTATAAAAATGCAAAAAAAATTTAATGGTTTTATTTAATTAATCCTATTATAATAGGAACACTCAGTATTTCAAGTGCAGCTTTCAATTATAGTGTTTGTGATACAGTAGATATTGTTTGGAATCATTTTACTGAAATTAGAGAACTTTATGGGAAGAAGTTGTTCAAATGTCTGCATTGTATAACAGCATACAATAGAGGATGAATAAATAGAATGAAATAATATTTAACAGGAGTTAAGGAAAATATAGCTTCCTGCAAAAAGATTTCAAACGATGTTCACTATCAAATGTAGAAAAATTTGAAGAAATTTTCAAAAAGAATATTAAATTTAGGACATTAACAATGTATGACATCCACAACTTTCTATTTATATATTGAATTTAAGACATTAAATGGGATGCAACAATTGAAAAACTATCTTGCTAAGTCATATATGCATGATGAATTGCTTCCTTAGATGCTAAGACACTTTTAATTGAAGGTTGAGAACCTCGTTTAATTCAAAGAGAAAAGAAAGTGTCGGCATCAGCAATCTTTTTTTTTCCTTTAACAAGCTTCGATATATGTGCTTCAAAAGATTGTGATTTAGATAGAGAAGAAGAATCTCTTCCTTCCTCTGCTTCAAATCTACAAGAAACGGTGTACTATCCAACTTATTATGTTCATGTTGTTTTTTTTTTTTAATTTCCTTCATTTTTTTCTTATATTTGATGTTGAACATTGTTTGGAACCTTTTTGCAAGAAGTTATATTCTCCTTAACTCCTGTTAAATATTGATTCATTATATTTATTCTTCTTCCATTGTATGCAGTTTCACAATGCAAACATTTGAACTGCTTCTTCTCATAAATTTCTTTAATTTCAGTGAAATAATTTCAAGCAATGTATACTTTCTCACAAATACTATAATTAGAAATTGCACTCTAAGTACTGAGTGTTTACATTCTAATATGATTAACTAAATGAAATCATTAAAATTCTGACCATCACATGCACAATTTAAGTAGATTTGAACTCACTCCATTATTTAATATCTAAAGATAAATAAAAATGAAACTAAAAATCTGTAAACATAAATAATAAGCAAAAATTTAGATCAATTTATTTGAAGTAACACATGTGCCTTCAATTATAGTTGTTTATTCAAGCTCAAACATGCAAGAAAATAAAAATAAATTACTAATATATAAGCCCCAAATAACTTCCTATGAGGGGCTCATCAAAATGTCAGTCTTTAAAAGAAAATATGATGTAACTAATGATAATGTATATATGCATTTATTATAAAACTTTAGCAACCAAAAAAATCTAACAACTTATAATTTTCATGCTCATCAAAAATACATGTATGAGAATAAGAGAGTGTTTCAAAGGCTATAAATGTTAGCTACCACTACTTCCACATTCTTCATGGAGAATTGGAGGGCTCATTTTGTCTAACATTTTCAATTAAATTCTCGCACCATTAAAAATAACTATGCATTTTATCAAATATTTATTATATTTTGCCTTTCATGGGTGTAGCTGAAAGTAGTGACATATCAGTACACATACAAAAAGACATGTAAACTAACAAATTGAATGCTTCACATTACTTTACCCATACGCATTAAATCTTTGAATATAAACATAAGAATTATTTTTTTATCTTAACATGTGCTCTTCTTCATACTTCCAATTGATTTCACAGAATAAAGACAAACATTAGAATATAAAAATTTAAAAATAGGCTTCCGGTACCGGCTAAGATTACTCTTATCAAGTTATTTTTCTTTCTATAAGCAAAACCTAAATCCTAAAATCATAAACTAACAAATTAAGATAACATAAAATAGTAACTATTAAATAACACTGAAATGGATAAAAATAAAATTAAAACTCAAAAGCTTAATGAATCGAATCAATTGATAAAAGAAAAATTTTTTACCTTACGGAGAGGAAATCTTATATTTTTTATTATACCACATGTGATTGTGGGCTCCGAAAAATTCCATTTTAGGTGTGTGGGATCCCGGGGGAATTTTAGGAAGGCAGATTGGGTTTTAGATAAGACACTACCTAGAGATTTCACCCTCATTTTGTGAGGACTTTTTTATCTGAGTTCTGGTTTCCTATAGGCGCAAGCCCCTATAGTTAATTACCCCTCCTGACAACAGAAGAGAACTTTCGATTGAGGCTAGTCATAAAAGAGGTCAAATAGGTTATAAACCTATCGTATAATAGCAACAATTCTAAGGTTTAAATTTTGAATTTGAAAGTTTGAAATTTGAAATTTATAGTTTATCACCATAAACTTAAAACTGATGGTGGGGGGAATGAAGACGAGCCCGATCAAGACCCCATGGTTCCGTCGTCCCGGGCTGTCATGATCCCTGGTCTACTTAGTCAGAGGAGGTAGTCGACCCAACCTGACAGAAGGCATCTTGTTGGCAGCCATGGGTTGCTTCGTCC